GGGACACACAGATAGTTGTAACACTGTATGTATTGTTGACATTGTTACCTTGATCCTGTGAGGGACACACAGATAGTTGTAACACTGTATGTATTGTCGACATTGTTACCTTGATCCTGTGTGGGACACACAGATAGTTGTAACACTGTTTGTACAGGTCTTCCAGATTGTCCCGATCCCAATAAAAGTCAGGGGTGTCCAACAACTCCGATCCCAAGTTCATGAATTGACTACAACGGAATGACATAGTATGCTAATTATTGACTTCAACATCCTAGAAATCAATGAAACAGTCAAATATGTTCAATGGATTGAAATGGTATGCCAGTTAATGAAATTAATATCATTAACAAATCAGTTAAAAAAAAGTNAATTTTTTAACCCTTCCCCCCCCCCCCCCCCTGAAATTTCATAATGAACTATTCCAAAATTTGAATTGGAAGAGTTCAAATGTGTCTTCAGGGGTGAATGAGTTAAGGACCATTTTCCCACTGCAGGCAAAACACTTAGAGAATTCAGACATTAATTGACCTCCCCTTTAATTCATTTCTGACTAATTGTATCACAGCAAGGTCGGAGAACCTCCATTGACCAGATAGCTAAATTGGTAATAGCGACCCTGTTTAATGGCTGGAGGACCAGGATTTTAATGGCTGGAGGACCTGGATTTTAATGGCTGGAGGACCCGGATTTTAATGGCTGGAGGACCAGGATTTTAATGGCTGGAGGACAAGTACTTTAATGCTGGTCTGGCCCTGTTGTATTTTAACACTGCAGATTATTTTTGTTCATTGAATCACAACAAGAGGCCCAAGGGCCTTAGCGGTCACCTGAGTTATATTATAGGTACTGGTAGATTTATTTTATTGTTTAGATGTGATGTGGAAATCAGCATGTAAACTAAGTGAAATACAATACTTGTCATGTCACCAAAGGATAAGAACTTTAAAAACTATCCAAATAAATTATTTTGCTATTGAGAAAGTACATGTATACCCTCTCCCCAAAGGAGAGTAGATGACCTGGCGGATAATGAAATTTACAATTTAAGTAATGGTAAGGACCTTTCTATCTATGAACAGTAAAACATTCGAGTCTAATGAATAAGATTTTTTAACTTTTAACCATAATCCCCATTTGGGCCCAACCCATCCAGCCCCTGGGGATGGGGCAGGATCTTATTTCTCATACCATCTAATTGCCATCTGGCATCATAATCATTCCAACCAAGTTTGAATAATTCCCTGCTGAAAACAGACAAAATATTCCCAAAAATGTTGTTTCCCTATATAAACTAAAGTGAACTTTACTGCCTCCCCAAAGGAGAACGGATGGCCTGGGGGTAATAAAATTGAAATAAAAAAGATAAAGCCACTAACAGGATGTTCATCCATGAACAAAATTTGATTGTACTTCATCCGAGTCTGAAGAAGATTTTCCCTTTGGTGCCCCACCCTGGCCCCTGGGGGTTTGGGCAGGAATCCTGCGACGGTCGTGGTCCAGAATTTATAGTCCAGACTATAAGTCCGGAATTTATAGTCCGGAAATTAGTACCCCCCTCTATTCCGCATATTAGTTTTGTTTTCCAAGTTCCTATGTCTACCATGTGGAAGCGTCGCAGTCACGCTGTCATTGTTTAGGCTAAATGAGGGCCTCCCTAAGGAGTAAGTGTTTATAATAACTGTATGATTTATTGCATAATGTATCTTTGATGCTAGTTTTTATGTTATATGCATATGTTCATTCTGTACGTTTGGTAAATCAGATAGTTTTGTTGGGCTTGGGCGATTCCCGCCGGATTTCAATCGGTGTCGTTTCTTTGTTTGCTCGACACAATAACGTAGTCAAATAGTATTAATTTGTTATTTTGTACTTCATTATAGTTACCAACTGTAATAGGATGGCCATGGGGTACTGAAATTTACAATTTAAACAAGGCCCCTGATTATCTTTTCATACATGCAGAGAAATTGATGACTGTAGTACCTCTGAGTCTGGAGAAGAAGAATTTTGAAATATTGGTGAATTTTCCCTTTGGGGCCCCGCCCTGGCCCCTGGGGTCGAAGCAGGAATCCCAATTTTACAATTTGATACCATCTTCCTCCAAGGATGATTCTCACCAAGTAAGATTAATTTCCTACTGAAAATTGCCAAAATATACCCAAAAGTTTTATTTCCCTATATAACCAATAGTGAATTTTACCCCATCCCCAAAGGATAACGGATGGCCTGGGGGTTATAAAATTTAACACTTTAAACATGCAGAGAAATTGAAGACTGTTAAGTACCTCTGAGTCTGGAGAAGAAGATTTTTGAAATATTGGTTAATTTTCCCTTTGGGGCCCCGCCCTGGCCCCTTGGGTTGGGGTAGGTATCCCAATTTTACAATTTTGTATCCTCATCTATCAAAGACGATTCTGACCAAGATTGAAAAAAATCCATCCACTGGTTCTTAAGAGGAAGTCGAAAATGTAATAAGTTTACGCATGACGGATGACGAGGGACGGAGAGTGATCAGAATAGGTCACTTGACCTAAAAAATCATAAAAGTTCCACAAGTTATGGTTTCTTTCCAGAAATGATTTTTCAAAGCTACATTATAGTGCCATGCCAGAAAACACGTGTTAATCCAACAAAAACAACAAGTAACAAGGGCTGCCCGGCAGTAGACAATATATCTACAACAGCATGTTTATAGTTCCAACACAAGCTGTCCCTGAGTTGTACCAGTGTCCACCAGCATACCAGGGTTTAAAATGCAATCAAACACTAAACATTACAACAAACCAGGGCTGGTTTAATACAGAGCTTACCGAATGGCGAAAATTGTCCCGAGTGTTTTCAAAATTTTCTGTTTGGACATCGAAACTTTACCTCCTTTCCTCAATGTCTGGAAGAGAAACAACACACAATAGTTCAAAATAGTGCTATGAAACATACCCCAAAAAGTTATGCAATAAGAATGCATTCCAAACAGTAACTGTCAATGTGCACTATTACGGTAATTATAACAGGTCAATATTTGAGATTGAGCCTTGGACCTCTGATTCACCACCAAATAAGATACCTAGTCTGTAGGACCAAGGTAACATACTCCCCTTCCAAGGAAGAATTCATACCAATATTTCCAGGGGTAATTATAACCACACTGCTTGTGATGGTAAGACCGAGTGTTTTTTTGTAAATATTCCCTGGCCCCGAGCGTTGGGTGCCAAATGTTACAGAAAAGGAAAAATGCTACAGCAAAAATGGAATGGGAACACTAAATCTCCAAACTTTAGACAAACACTCTAACCAATGGAGACCCTTAGTCACGGGTGATTGACCAAGTTCCGTTCCACTACATACTGTATAGTTGGTATTGTTCATGAGGGTTTTAATTTCGCAAATTTGTAAAAATTCGCGACATTAAAACCCTTGTGAATATTTTGAGATCATCGCCATCAGATCCACACTTCACACATCCATGAAATCAGATGAGCTGAGGCTACTAGGTCTAACCATTGTTTTGAAAGCAGTACACTATATAAAAAGTTAACAGATAAATTGAACTTGATTTTTTTAATCCCTGGGCCATTTCGTTTATCGCAGTCCAAACAGTTAAACCGGTCGGACTAGTGTTGTTCGTTTAGGAAATAAGGTCAGACCAGAGGTCATGGGTTTGATCCGTGGAGGTAATATCTGTACCCGTCAGATTAGTAGACCAGAGGTCATGGGTTTGATCCGTGGAGGTAATATCTGTACCCGTCAGATTAGTAGACCAGAGGTCATGGGTTTGATCCCTGGAGGTAATATCTGTACCCGTCAGATTAGTAGACCAGAGGTCATGGGTTTGATCC